ATAAAATAAAAAATACAGAAGAAATCACGGGGGAGGGGAGGCTCAGGGTGAAGGGAGGGGGGATCACCATTTTGTAACCATCATGGCAAAAACTGATACAGGCAAAGGCCAATTAAACAGATGAAGAAACTAGTGGGTGGAAGTAAGAGAAGGTAAAATACGTTTAAAGAGCCTTGAGAATCTCTCCACAAGGTACTTAGTAATTACAAAAAGAAAAAACAGTAACTTTCATCAGAGATGCCTTGGCAGACCCCGAGGGATCATGGTCAGCATCACCAGTGACTGAAGCCATCCACGCCGTGTGCTCCCGACGTGAGGCACAGAGCACACAGCGTCACTCTGGGGTCTTCCTGCCAAGAACACATAACCTGAATCTAACCACAAGGAACTGGCAAGTCAAACCCAAACGAAAGGCCCTGTGGCAAATACTTGGCTTGTGCTCTTCAGAAATGCCAAGGTCAGAAAAGGCTCAGATGAAGCAAGGAGCTGTTCAGGATCAAAGGCCTAGAAGGACGCCCCTGAACGCAATGCATGGCCTCGGAGTTGCCGCAAAGGACATCAGAGGGACAGCTGTCCAAACCTTAATAAGCACCGTGGACGAGATCATGGTTATTATCGCAGCCATGCTTGTTTCTGCTTCTTAATCACTGTAGAGGTACGGAAAAGAACCTTGTTTTTAGGAAACATACTGAAATATACAGAGGTAAAGGGTCGTCATGTCTGCATCTAACTCTCAGATGGTTTAGGGAAAAATGTGTGGGAAAACGGGGAACCCAGGTGAGGAAGGGGTCGGAATTCTCTGTCCTGTAATTATGTCAGAGTGAAACTAACAAAATAATGGCATGTACAAAAAATGAAGTCTGGAAGGAAACACACCAGGAGCTAACAATATACCCTCTTGGAAGTGGGACTGAGGAGGAGATGGGATGTGGCAGGGGACATGTGTGGATTCTTCCCATCGTCATAGATAGCTCTGGTGATTTAAAAAGAAAAACAAATTTAATGGATGCAATAGATCTAAGCTTCCAGGGCTGGGCTGGCATTTCCATGAAAAGAAACTCCTGATCCCTTACCTCGCCATCAGGTCCGATTGCAGGCGTCTGTCCTTCTGCATTTTCTGCCTTCTAGAGGTAAAGAGAGACATGGTCACTCACTGACCAGGGAGGCCCAGGCACACGTGTCAAGACGGCTGCTCCAGTCCCACCCAGGGGCAGGCACATGGCCAGGTCCCAGCGCACCTTCTTTTTCTTTTTCTTCTTTTTCTCCTTGGCGACCTGGGCAGCCTTGTGCTGCCGCACCAGCTCCGTGAGGTTAGCCACGTACTCATCTGTCTGCTGCAAGAGGTAGGCCAAGCGCTTGTCCTTCTTCTGGTCGATGAGCTTGCGGTACCCCTCCTCATCTTCAGCCTGCAGAAGGGTGAGGTTATGGTGCTTGCTTGCAAGAGACACGTGCTTGTCCATTAGTGCCCAAGGCAGGTAATCCAGAGTCAAGAAGCCCACTGGGGGTTGTTTAACCAGCAACCAGACCCTCACCAAGGGAGTGCTTAGCTGACACCAGAGCTGTGCTGTACATACACCCTTCACCTAGCTATCGACTCCCCCTTCAGTATTTCCTCAACCCCTACCCAGGGAAGACCCTGAGGGGGCCTGCTGGACAGACACACTTTTGCCAGAAGTCATTTGAAAAGGCCAACAGCAAGTCCTGGTCCCTCTGTCCACAAACGCACCCCAAATCCAAACACTTCTCTCTGGTCCAGGCCAGATTACTCTCACAGACCCATGTAACAAGCCCCTCCTGGCTTTCTAATAATCAATCAGATCATGTCACCCCAGCTTATAGCCTCCTGTGGCTCCCCCTTTAGAATTAAATCTAAAGCCTTCCTTGTGGCCTACAAGGCCCCACATGACTGCGGGGACTCTGACCTCACTCGTGCCCTCATCATGCTATTCTAGGGGCCTCTTGCTGTGCCTCGCACTTGGCTTTCTGCCACCTCAGGTGTTTGCCCTTGGTTCCTCTATCCCTGGAAGGCACTTCATCCAGGGAGTCATGCCCACCCTTCCCATAACACCCCATCAATCCCCACTCCCTCATCCTGCTTCCTTCTCTTCAGGGTACTTCATACCACCCAAAACGGTCTTGTTTTCGGCCTGGGCATCTGTCTCTCTAGGGCCAGCAGGAGCGGCCGGGAGGGTAGGGACTGCGTGCTTCTCCTTACTACTGGGGCTGCGTGCATATGGCAGTGCCTGTCAGTTATCTGCCCAACTAGAGAATCACCCCGAATATCCAGACACAAAGGGTGGGGACAGAGGATAGGGATCACATCACCAGTCACTCTCCCAACCTACAGCGCGTGCCCCCTCGATTTTCTGGAGAGACCACAGAGCAGTCAGCTAACCAGCCTAAGGTGTCTCGATCACCGACAGAATGAACAGGCCAGGTCTTCTGGACTCCCAAACCCAAGCTCTTTCTCTCTGTCCCACCTCTAACTCTGAGCAGTACTCCACCTCGGTATAACACAAGGCAATCGATCCCTGGTGCCTGCCACACCCAAAGCACCCACGAGGGAACAGGAAGGGACACAGCGTCACGAAGGCAGAATTTTACCATGAGTCTCCGCATTCTCTCTTTCTCAATTCTTTCATTTTCCTTCTTCTGCTCCCTCTCCGTGTTGGCGTGGTAGGTGGCCACCGCCTTCGTGAGCTTCTGGATTTTGCCTGTGACCGACCTGTGATATTCTTTGAAATCCTTGGCATGCTGCAGAATGCTATTGAGGTATTCCTGCAGGGACGTACACAGAAGAGAGAACTGGCTACTCCCCAGGGGTCGCTATAACACTGCCGCAAAGGAGACAAAACTTTAAAGGCAGCTTGTTTAAAACCAAGAGGATGTAACCAAAACGGTACAACGACACTGTCTGCCCCTGAGGTTCGACATTCTCTGTGTAAGGAAAGCCCCAAGCTGGGGACTGTGGTAAGAGGGGCCCTCCCTCAGGGGTAACAGGCAGGGCCAGCCGCCTTGCCCAAACAATCTGGCACTGAACACTAACCACCCCAAAACGCCCTCACCTCCAAACGAGTCATTCCACTGCCAGGAATTCCCTTTAAGGAAAACAGCAGATACTGGCCAAAACAATTCAAGTTCAAGAACGCCTCTTTTAGCATGATTTCTAACATTGCAAGGTTGAAATAGGCTACATGTTCCCCAGCAGGGAAATGGTTACATAAATTACTGGATGCTAAGGCAGAGAAGGAATACAACGTAAATGTTAAAAATCATGCTTCCTGCAATACTTAAAAACAAGTCAATGTCTCCATATGTTTGTTTAAAGGAGACTATTTAACTTTTGGATACTCTGTGCATACAGAAAACCAATCTGAAGAATATATACCAAAACGCTACCAGTGGTTAACGCTGAGTGGTGACTTTTTAAATTTTAAACTACACCAGTACTACGTATAGACTAGAGGAGAGCTTTAGAAAACGTAAATGAGCAAACAAACCAAATCGTCCCCATATCCGACTCCAGTAGAGATGCGGTCTTCCTGACTGATCTTGTAAAAGCTAAGTCAGATCACACCCTCCTCTGCTCAGGACCCTTCATGGCTCCCACCTCACTCAGGGCAAAAGGCCCAAGTTGTCTCCTCAGCCCAGACACTCTGCCCATCACACCTCTCTGTCCTCGCCTCATCCCACTCTCTCCCTTGCTCACTCCACTCCAGCCACACTGGGATCCCTGCTGGTCACAGAACACATGGCACATTCCAGCCCCAGGGCCTTTGCGCTTCCCCTCAATCTGCAAAGCTCCTTGCCCACGTCTTTGTGGCTTCCTCCCTCAGATCCCGCCTTCCCAGAGAACTTCCCCAACCATGCTGTGTCAACAGCCCCTCCGTCCCTCTCCATTCCTGCCTTCCATCTCTTCATACCCTATCACCTCCCAACATGGCATATGTGATTATGGCCCGTTCTCCCACTGCCATTTGGTTTTGTCCACTAACATATTCTCGGTGCCTAGAATACTGTTGTGATGAACAGAAGAGACAGACAGCATGCTTAGAAACAAACCGAACAAGACTCAACAGCGTGCAAGCTCCTGCAGCCCAGGCACGCAGGCCAAGCCTTTGCGGTGGGGCGGGGACGCACCTGGTGCTTCTGCCGGCGCTTGCGCTCCTGCTCAATCTTCTGCTGCTTCTCCAGCTTCTCGGTGATGCGGGCCTCACGCAGGGACTGCCGCTTGCTGCGCTTGTAGGCCTTGGCGTTGAGGGCCGTCTCGAGGGCTGTGTCCCTCCTCATGCACACCACCACTTCCTGTCGTAGCTTGAGGAAGGAAGAAATGATGTGCACAACGTTGTCAGATCCACACATAATTACGTATCTCAAGACTGCTGCTCCTTCCAGAAGGATCCGTTCTAAATGCTGTCTGGTGGGTGCCCACAGAGAGCGCGAGCACAGGTCAGAAGATGACCGCTTCTGGACCCCCAGCAGAACGTTCTCTCAAACCTGCAGGTCTCCAGCTCTGCCTCCCGTCAACCACACATAAAATATTCCTTATGGGTCATTCGAAAGTATAGTGCCCTCAAAAATAGGCCCACTTAAGTCTCCTGTTTTAAGCTGGCAACTACGGCCTTAGGAAAGACCCACAACTATTCATCCCAAGAACAGCTAACGTCCCACCATTGTGCAGGACATGGACAGGAGAGGACAGCCAGCCAATGAGGATACGAGGTCACTGCTGCTTTTAATGATCGGGACACATTTAGTAACTGCATGGCAAGTAGCTCTTTGAACCTAAGCATCAACGTTGGCAGAAAAGGCTCTTTTCCTCAAGCCACGGGCCTGCGCCAGTGCCCACCTGCCTCTGGAAGTTCAGCAGCCTGAGCGCTTTGAGCTCAATGGTCGCTTTGGTTCGCAAATCCCCGGCCAGGGACCCGGGAAGGTTTTCAAGTTCCTGAATTCGGTGTGCGATTCGAGCCTGCAGCCTGGGTGGGAAAGACAGAAGAAAGGAGAGATGATGAGAGCTCTTGTACATTCACGGGAGCCCACCTGTTCCCCTTCTTTAAAGGTGGAGCCTCAGGAGAATCCATCCCTCAAGGAAGGCAGAACCTGGTCAGGAGATGGGAATTGGCTCAGAAAGGGAAGCCAGCCAAAACACAGAACACAGAAAGAGTGGGGCAGGCACAACAAACCTGAACCTGATAGGGCACACCTGCCTTGTGACATTTCAGCAGCGACAGCTGGCTGTGGAGTCAGGCGGACCAGTGTCTTCACCCCAGCCCGGGGACAACCCCGCAGAGCAACCCTACAGGCTTGGTCTAAGGTTCAAATGAGATAATCCCCCTTCTCAATGTTTCACACATATTTATGAAACACCTACTGTGTGCCAGGGACTGATCCAGATGTTGGGCCTTAGCACTAAACAAGACTAAACAAGATTAATTTGTTATTCTCATAGAACTCACAGGCTTATCAACAAGACAGGCCATAAAGGAGTTAAAAACTTAAGTATCTACACTAATTCCAGAGAGTACCAGGTACTCTGAGAAGGGCGCTGGAAATGAGGAGGGTAGGCAGGGCCTCTATGAGCAGGTGACCTCAGCAATTAGGCCTAAACTAGCCAAAGAGACATGTGCAGCCTGTGCAAAGGCCTGGGAGTAGAAATGAGTCTCACTTGTTCCACAGAAAAAGAGGAACAGGGGGAGTGGCATAGGCAAGGACAGAGCCTTGGGCAGGGCGAAACAAAAAGGTGCTTACTGGATGGGCAATGGGATACCAGTGGCAGGTTCGAACCTGGGGAATAGATCTAATGGAAGTTAATTATAAAAAGAGACCTCAAACTGCTATGTGGGAAACAGACTGCACAAGCAAGGGGGAAGAGCAGGGAGACCAGCAACATGGTGTAGACCAGGTGGCGGGGTCCACAGTGTGGAAAAGGCCACTAGTTCCTGGGATTGGGGAGAGGAGCTGAGACGAGGACATGGGAGATGAGGGAGGGTGAGCAACTGTGAAGGGAAGGTAGGGTCTGGCCCAATGAGCTGTTGTCAGGTGCACGGGGAGAGAAACGGGAGGGAAATGTGGGGGACACGAGGACATCTGAAAGGCCATTTTAAGCTATCTAAATGGAGCTGGAGGAGAGGTGCCTGGGTACAGGAGTTGGAGCTCCAGAGCACATCACAGCTGGTGAGGCACTTTGGAGACTGTTATTAGACAAAGATTTACTGATACATCTGGGGATTATGGGGAACAAAGCACAGCCCCTCCCACATGGGGCTTATGTTTACCAAGGGAGGCCAGCCCTGAACAAGTTGTCAGTGCAGTGGGGAAACGGGAGGGCAGGGTGCTCAGGGGGCGAACCTGAGGTGCCCCAGCTGCATGGGACAGAGTGATACAGGCGCCCTGGGCACCCACTATCTCCCCCAGCGCCTGGCACGCAGAAGGCCCTGGTAAAGCAGCCAGCAACCAGTGATGTTTGAGAGGGCCCACCACAAAGCTCTGACAGGTTGCTTTTTGAGTGCTGATGAGCTGAAAGTTAGCAAGGAGAAAAAAGCACTTCCATTCCAACATCTATCTGTACGACCTCCATGGAGGGCAGTTTTGCAGAATCCAGGAAATTTCCCTGCCTAGGTCCCCTGTACCCAACCCATGGCACTTTTAGGGATTTACTCTGACACGTGTGCCCACGTGGGAAAAGAGAGATGCAAGTGTGTTGACTACAGCATTGTTTTAACAGAAGATTAGGGGGAAAAAAAAAAAAGATTAGAAACAACCTGACATCCCTTCCGCCAGAGTTCTGGCTAAATCAATTACGGTAAAAAGCCACCGGATGGAATATTATGTATCCAAAAAAAAAGGAAAAGCTCATTTGGTACAAATAGGGGATGATCTGACTCTGCTCTCACTGGAGGAACCATGTGCACATCATGAAACACTTGGGCACCTCATGGCAACCTTGTCTGCCTATCCACACACAGGATTTCTCTGGAAGGATACATAGCAACACAGAGAACTAGGCAACTGGTGACAGATTTCTGATCACATATCCCACTGGCCTTTAGAACTGTGAGTCAAACCGACACGTGTCAGGGCTGACCGGGGCTAGGGGCAGCAACCCCAAGTGGCCCTAGGCAGCAGCGCCCTCACCTGTACTCCCGCTCCTGCAGGATCTCCACAGGGTCCAGGCCCCGCGGCTTCTGGATGGGGGTGATACGGCTCTGCTTCTGGTGCAATGGCACCATGGGGGCAGGCTGGGCAGGCTGCCCCGGCGACTGCGTCTGGGGCGGCATCACTGGGGAGGCAGCGGGCGGGACGGCGGGGGGCGCAGGTGAGGGGCGGCCCGTTGGCTGTGGGGGGATCAGCTTCTGAGGTGTGCTCGTGGGGGCAGCAGCATTCGCCATGGGTCCTGGGCCGGGGTGGGGGGAGAGGAGTCAGGCAGGAGGGGCACACAGCTTTGAGTTCTGGCTCAATTCTGGGGGGTAAATGAAAAGCCTGCTGGGCGCTCACGACCCTCGGGGACAAACTCATCCCCAAGGCTGACGAGGCCTGCGCAGGCCGCCACACTGCCTCTCACTCAGGGATCCCTCGGGGGTCCCCCTCCCTCCTGCCTCCTCCGGACCTCAGCAGACATGTCCCCTCCCGAAGCCACCCCTGCCTAAGCGCCGCTCCCGGGTTTGGTCCTGCTGCGTGCGGCCTCACGGGACCAGCAGTTTCCGACCTTCATCTGGTGCCCAAGGAATCTTACTCAAGCAATGAGCTCTCCTGTGCCCATCACTAAACCTCGGGCTCCGAGGGGACAAGGAATGAGTCTGTTTTGTCCATACGTCACCGCCAGAGGCAACCCTCCAGCACCCGATGACCGTGTCTTGCACAGAACACAGAGGCTGCACAGTCAGCAGAAGCGGAGCCCTGAGCCACCCTGTCGCCCTGCCTGCCTCCCACAGTACTGGGGGCGGGGAAGGGGGTGTTCTCAGGAGGGAAGGGGGTCACACACGGCCTCTGGGCTCGGAAGCGCCCCGTCCCGAAGGATGGGATCTGTGGCTGTGGGAGCGCCTCTCCACAGCTCTCACTTGAGTCATCCAGGGGGCTCGTTCACTAGGATCCTCCTCTCCTTGGTGAGGAGACCCCATGATTACCAGGACCCACAGGACAAGGTGCGGCAGGAATCATGCAGTGGAACAACCTAAGCCCCTGTGAACTGACCAAAGAGGGCCAAAGGAACGGAGGACTTGTCCTTGGCCCCTTCTCTCTGAGCAGGCTCCCTCTCAGGGGCGGCATGGCACAAGCTTGTGACAGGAGCCAGGGAAGAGGCATGTCACCAAGACAGAGGGGACTTACCTTCAGGCCAAGGCTTGGGAGGCCCTCCGGGAGGCTGACCTGGCATCCCAGGAGGCACGCCTGAGGGTCCAGGGGGGGGCATGTTGGGCCCTCCCATACCTACGCATATGGAGAAACATACAAGACAATAAACGGCATCCTGTGTTTATGCCTGCATCCACCCCCACAGGCAGGCCTGGCTCCAGGAGACACACCCAACAACAAGCCTCTCAGTGTGGGCAAGGCGGGGGGCGGGGGGGGGCCCGCAGCTGGAGAAACAACATTGAGCACGAAAGCAGCTCGGCTGCCTGAGCATCCTGAGTGCTGCCGACACCATGCGGTCTCCGGGGGGCGGGGGGGGGGAATGCCCGAGGGTAGCAGAGCCCAGGTCTGTTGACATCGCTGCCCACCTTCTGGTAGTTTGCTCTGAGTCCCCTCCCCACCCCGAGCGCTGGGGAGAGAGGGCCTTACCGTGAGGCCTGCTATAATTTGGAGGTGCTGGTCCTGGACCCGGGCCAGGGCCAGGGCCAGGGCCGGGGCCAGGTCCCGTTGCGGACACAGAGGGTGGAGGTAGTGTTGGCATCTGCTGCTGCATCCCGGGCATTGGCCGCTTCCCCTGCACCGCCATCTGCAGGTGGTCGGGGAGGGGCTGCCCCCTGGCCAGCATCTTGTATGCCATGATCTGGGCTCTGAGCTGATGCAGCTGGTTCTGGTTAAATGGAGTCGGGCCCCGGTTCTGCTGGCCCAAAGCCTGGGGATCGGCACCATCCAGGGGGGCCCCTCCTGGCCCAGAGGACAACTGTGGGCCTGAGGACGGGCCACTGGCTGGAACTGGACTGGAGGCATGCTCAGAGCCGCCCAGGGGAGAAGGGTAACCTGTGAAGCAATGTGGGATCCAAGTGGTCACTCGGCAACACACATCCTATGATTTCTAAGGCAAAGACAGTAAACTTTCAACTGTGCTTACGCCGGCTCCTATCCCGAGACAGGGGGCGGCCAATGACTTTAATCCCAGTATTCAAAGGAGAAGCACCCACAGAGATGGCACATGCAGGCAGCCTGACCAGTGGCCAGCACGACCAGTTTGGTCGGCTCAGCTTTCAGCAAGTTGCTTGCTGATGGTCAATGCTGAGCTGTTACACAGATCCAGGCCTCCCTCGGGTCTGCCCTCCTGCCCTTCAACTTGGACAGACCACGCCCCTAATGTCCATTCAGTGTAGAGCCCAGGGAGGAACTGAGCTTCCCACCCAGATGACAGGAAGTCACCTACTCCATCATTCTCCAACTGCCCTGTTCAGAAAAACTACATGGAAGGCTTGTTAAAGCAGAGCCCACCCACCTCAAGATTCTGTCTCAGCAGTCTGAAGTGGGGCCCCAGGAATCTGCATTTCTAGTACATTCCTGGATGGCACGGGAGCTGCTGGCCCGAGGAGCCCACCCTGCTCGGCCCCTGTCTAAACTCCAGGGCTGCATATGGATGCATCCTACCAGGGTTCCCTCTCCAGAGGCTGCTCTAAGACAAGCCGGCCCAAAACGGGCACCGGCCAAGCACAAGCTCAACAGCCCTCCGTGGCAGAGTATGCCACAGGGCTGAACTGTCCTGGGTCTACCCTGAATCTGCCTGTGGGAGACCGGGAAACCCAACTAGGAAAATGACCTCAGGACACCCAGGGTAGGGTTTGGGGTTGGGGGAGCAACAAGCACAAGGAAAGAAGAGTAATAAAACAGTACCTTGGGAGTGCTGGTCCATGGGGCTTGGCGGCGGCCCCATCCCTGCGTGGGCCCCCGACCGCATCGCCATTCCCTTCATCTGGCTGTAGCGGGGGTCATCTGACATGCCCTTCTCATGCATGGACTCCATTGGCTACAAGAGGGGACAATGACAAGGCAAGCTCAACAAGAGGGAACAGGAAGAGGCAGCATGCAAAGTGCCGCCTGAGAGTTCACTGCCACTAAAAATGTCCACCCAAGGTCACCCCGGTATGTACTGAATCACCAATGTGACCAAGCAGCTTAGGTCCAAGCCATGGTCCTGACACCGACTAAAGTCTCAAGCAGATGCAGAAAGCAATGTTACTCGGCAGTGGGCAACCACCTAGGAGCCTGGAGGTCTGGAAGTGAAGGGACAGATGGATCAGGGCACCAGGAGATAGTTTCAGATGGCCAAAATACCATGCAGAAAAGACATGAGCTCCTGGAGAGGAGCTGTTTTGGCTGGGACACCAAGCTCCCCATTAATCGTCACAAGGAGACCTGGTGACCACCAATCTTTGGATCAGAAACCCTCTTCCTTGGGAGACTGTAAGTCAGGGGGACAGACAGAAATTTCTGCCTATAAGTATGATTACACTATGTTCGGTGTCCTCACTGATCTGAGATCGGCCTCCAGCCTACTAGTTGGGAGGAAAGGTGTCTGTGGCGTGGTTCTGTCCCTCCTAAGAGGTACATCGGACCTCTGCAGAATGATGACACCTATTTTCCCCCCAAAGGTTCAGCACTAAGTACTTCCCCGACTGGAATGGCTGGTAAAGGGGACATTTTTTGGGACCCTTCCAGGCACTCTGCTAAGCCCTGACTGGCACGAATATCCTGGTCTCTGGGAACTCAGTCTAATGGGTGGGTGGCCCAGCAAAGTCAACTACAGCTCAGTGTGTGCCATGAGAGAAGCAAGAGAAGAGGAGAGGGTGCTTGGCGGGGACCACAGGAGCGGCTTCAAATGCAGGAAAAGGGGGGGCCCTCGGGAAGCTGACGTCTCTGCAGGCGAGGGGTGTCCCACTACCATGGCCCCTGGTCCCTGGGCTCCTAACACAGTGCAGGACAAACAGCAGGTGTCTGGCAGACATGTAGTGTACATGCAAGCGATTCCAAGACGAAGAAACAAAATGGGCAGAGAGGGAAAGAGGCTATGCTGGAGAACCCAGATTCAATTGTGGGGGGGGTAGGGGGGCAGTCAGGTCACCAACAGCTTCCCAAGAAGGAAGCAACAAGATACTGTTGACAGAAATGTGCAGGAGATGCGGAAGGCAAGAACGGCCAGAGGGATGAGCAGGCTCCACCAATGACTCAGTAAGTGACCATCTCTCTGAGATCCCACTTCCTCATCTGTAAATGGGCACAATAACCATCTACACCTGATGGGCGGGGGAATTTAAGTGGCATGGGTACAAACACATGGATAGCCTGGGGAGGGAGGCTAGAGGGGTCAGCAGAGACCCCTCTTCTACGAGGATCTCTTGTGGTCTCTGAGACTTGAACATGTCAGTTCTTCCTTTAGACACTGATAGATAGGAAGCTGTTCCTTGTTTTCCCCAGCCACCACCCAGGAACACAGTGAAAAAGGAAAACTATTTGTGTTAAGAGGTTTTTTTTTCCTCACCTCACTGGCAAAAGCATCTCTGATCAGTTCCAGAAGTCAGGACAGTGAGTGAGTGGCAACCAAGTGCAAGAAACCATGTGACATAAGCCACCTTTCAGGGATCTGGACATTTTTATTCATTAACAAAAGGCAACCCTGGAGCAGTGTGACCACATCTCCCATGTGGAATGATGGGTACGGGAGACACAAGGCAGGAAGCCTCCTGGCTCAGAGCAGAAGCCAGGATGCACTGTCCAACCTCCCACCTCCAATCGTGTGGACCCAGCCAATCAAGGCACTGGGCGCAGGCTCTCTACCTTGTGCATCTGGTGCATGTTGTCCTGAGGGTATCCTCCAGGTCCCTGGGTTGGGATGGGGTGTCCTGCTGAGGGAGGCCCCGGACTGGGCCCCATCATGCTGTGGGCAGAGCCCGGTGAGGGACCCGGGCTAGGGCCCAACATGGCTCCAGGGGAGGGGCCGGGGCCCGGGGAAGGGCCCGGCCGAGGAGTTCCGCCCAGCGGTGGGTCTGGAGTGGACATCGTCACAGGAGCTGCACACAGTGGTCTCCTGCTGGAGAGAAGTCCTGGTCAGGCTGGGGCTCAGGGCCATCAGCAGGCCGAGGCGGCAAGGCGGCAAGAGAGGACCACAGGGAGTACTGTGAGAAGCACCCATTTGACAAGGAGCTGGCGCCTCTGACATGAACACCCCAACCCCGATACCCGGACCTTTCTCCTCCATTCTTCTCACAGCGGAGAATACATCAGGCATACAAAATCAGATCAAAGTCACCTGAGCAAGGGATGGGACTCAGGAGGTGGAGGTCCACAGCCACTGCCCCACTTGGGGTCTCACTTCCCTTGCTATTCTGATCACAACAAAGAGAATGTCTCAGGGCAGTGCTGATACACCCTTCGTGCCCAGTACCTGTCACCTTCCTAAAAACAACAAGGGAGAGCAAGACTAAGGCTCAAAGCCGTTGCCAACAACAGTATCCAACTGGGCCTTCGGAAGTTCAACAAATACAAATATTCACAGCAAGCGATGCTGGTTTTCCACCTGGGGCAGTGAGACCAAGTTTCCTTTAAAATAAATGAATGGGGGCACCTGGTTGGCTCAGTCGGTTAAGCATCTGCCTTCGGCTCAGGTCATGATCCTGGAGTCCCTGGATCGAGTCCCGCATCGGGCTCCCTGCTCGGCAGGGAGTCTGCTTCTCCCTCTGACCCTCCCCCCTCTCATGTGCTCTCTCTCTCATTCTCTCTCTCTCAAATAAATAAATAAAATCTTTAAAAAATAATAAAATAAAATAAATGAATGGGGGCACCTGGTTGGCTCAGTCGGTTAAGCGTCTGCCTTCGGCTCAGGTCATGATCCCAGGGTCCTGGGATTGAGTCCCATGTCGGGCCCCCTGGTCAGCGGGGAGCCTGCTTCTCCTTCTGCCTGCCACTCTCCCTGCTTGTGCTCTCTCTCTCACTCTCTCTCTCAAATAAAGTCTTTATAAATAAATAAATAAATAAAGTCTGAAACGCAGGTTCATTTAGAGACGCATTACACAAATAATGGCACTCTGCTATCTCAAACAGTTCTACAGTGATATTCACGTGTCTGACGTTAAATGAATGTTGCCAAAAACTAAAAACTGATACCCAGAACCATAACCCAGGGCCTCTACGAGATCCAAAAATATGCTACAAAAAAATGTAATGATCAGTAAATTTTACTTATCATCATAGGGCCGTGAGCTGATAAATTTTATACAGCCTTTCTATAATAAGAGTTCAATGTTAAGGGAACCCTTTTTCTGTTGTGTAGTTACATATATACGGCCTTAAACACAATACTCTTCAATTTCATAACTTCTTTCATGAAGACAGAGTAATACATTTGCAGTGCTGAAACACAGAAAACACAAAAAGAACAGAGGAACTTAAAGTCACCCAGCATCCCACCAGACACAGAGGTGAAGCGCTTGCTGGCCATAGAGAGAGCAACAAGCAACCCTGCCCTCCTGACCCCTTCCCAGCAGGGCAGAGGGAGGTGGGGAGTGGAAAGAAGGGGCTGAGGGTTTCCTCAGAGACGTAGGACACCACCAGAGCCATAAGGATGGAGCTGAGCCGTGCAGGGTGGGCCCTCTCAGGGTGGAGAGCTGCCCTCATGTTGCTATTGGGACCCCATCACACCTCCCTGCCTCCCTTCTAGACTGTTCCACACACAGGCACACGTGCACACGCGCACACACACACTCTCTCTCTCTCTCAACAGTATTACTCAGCACATTCTAGGCAAGCTTTTCTTCATCGAATTATACCCAGGACCATTTTTATCATGTAGCAGTCTTCAAAAGGTGGACTCTAGTGGTTCCACTGTGTTCCCTTGTTCTGCCACATACTGAGTTATTTCAAAGCCCCTCTATTGTTGACACAAATGTGGTTTTTGTTTCTGTGGTCTTTTTTGGTTTTTGGAGTGACTCTCTCTGTCCCTAAACTTTACTGGGCACTTCTGGTTCTAAGGATAAATTTTGTTAAGACGTGTAACAACATTTTTAATTCTCTTAATTAGAACAAAAGTTTTAATTCGAAAGGTGGGCGTATTTTCCTGGATAATAGATCAAAAGCCCAAACTTCTTTTTTCTGGTTTCATGGCTAAGTAATAGAGCAGAGAGGACCAGAAACCTTGGCAGGACATGGACCAGTGACCGGTGCACCAGCCTAAGAACAGACCCAACTGCGCAAGAAAGTGCTCTGCGTCCTCTGGGCCTCCTGGATTTCCTCCAAAGTGCAAGGAGCCTCAGTGCTGTACCTTAAATAAACCTCACAAGAGTGCTAGAGGAACGAACCATGAGAGACGATGGACTCTGAAAAACAAACTGAGGGTTCTAGAGGGGAGGGGGGGTGGGAGGATGGGTTAGCCTGGTGATGGGTATTAAAGAGGGCACGTTCTGCATGGAGCACTGGGTGTTATGCACAAACAATGAATCATGGAACACTTCATCTAAAACTAATGATGTAATGTATGGGGATTAACATAAGAATAAAAAAAAATCAAATGACAAAAAAAAAAAAAAAGAGTGCTAGAAGACTGGTGTCTGTTCACCATCTCTTCCCCACAAAGCCTGGGGCGGGTGGTAGAATCAAACTTGTAAAAAATAACTTTGAGACAAATCCATTTAGAAACAAAATCGGACCTGATTCAGATACACGTGAACGGTCACACCTGCTACAGACAGAAAAGGATCCCGTTACCTCCAGATGCCACTCCAGTCTCTGGCATGTGAGTGATCTGTGTCCCAATCTCCTTTTCTAAAATGCGGATTCTGAAGTCTGAAACCTCTGGCCCAGCGTTTGTCTAGGGCAAGATGCACCTGTAGTCATACGTCACAGGTGGAGAGCCGAGTGATGTAAATATAGCCACGGCTGGGTCAAGGAAGATGGCTCCTCAGGGCGCCCCTCCGGGCTCTTCATGTCCACAGACCCTCTCACAGAGGCCCAGAGAGACTGCAGTGAGGTGGGAAGAGGGAAAACGGCCCTGAAAATACTCAAGGAATCTTGTGGCATCCGGGAGCTCATGGGTGCTTTCTCACCTGCCAACTGAAACTGACGGCAAAATAAAATCCACATCATCTGGGGAACATCTTCTCCTTATCTAAAGGCAGACATGCCAAAGAGCAAGAACTGGGAAGTGCTTTGGAATGATGGCTCTTCTAAAGGTAGTTTATACTTAGTGTCAGACCTGCCTATCAAACTGCGTGGTACCAGGTGTGCCTGGGTGGCTCAGTCAGTTAAGCATCTGCCTTTGGGGTTCAGGTCATGATCCCAGGGTCCTGGGATTGAGCCCCACATCAGGCTCCCTGCTCAGCAGGGAGCCTGCTTCTCTCCCTCGTCCCACTCATTCTCTCTGTTGCTATCTCTTTCTCTCTCAAATGAATAAATAAAATCTTTAAAAAAAAAAATGCATGGTACCTCTAGAAATTTATTACCTCCACTCACAGCAGCACTAACTTCATCAATGACACATGGAGCTCACTGAAGTTGCTAGAGGGTATCAAAAAATACTTTTGTGCCAAATAGAGCTACCCTATGACCCAGCAATTGCACTACTAGGTATTTACCCCAAAGATACAAATGTAGTGATCCAAAGGGGCACCTGCACCCCAATGTTTATAGCAGCAATGTCCACAATAGCCGAACTATGTAAAGAGCCCAGACGTCCATCGACAGATGAATGGATGAAGATGTGGTATATATACACCATAGAATATTACTCAGCCATCAAAAAAATGAAATCTTGCCATTTGCAATGATGTGGCTGCAACTAGAGGGTATTATGCTAAGCAAAATAACAATCAGAGAAAGACAATTATCATATGATTTCACTCATTTGTGGAATTTAAAAAACAAAACAGAGGAGCACAGGGGAAGGGAGGGAAAAGTAAAACAAGACAAAATCAGAGAGGGAAACAAACCATAAGAGATTCTTGATCATGGGAAACAAACTGAGGGTTGCTGGAAGGGAGGAGGGTGGAGGGATGGGGTAACCATCAGGGCATTAAGGAGGGCACGTGATGTGATGAGCACTGGGTGTTGTATGCAACTGATGAATTGCTAAACTCAACCTTGAACCTAATAATA